GATGTTATCCAGTGCTCCCGGCAGGTCGCGGTAGGCCCATACTGGGGCGTACCGCCTGCAACTCACCACTGTCCCTCTAGCAAAGTACAACACAGCTGATCTCCAGATTTCTCGATGGCAATTAGACGGCAGCAGAGAGTTGGGCTTTCCAGTGTCAGTTTGCAGTTATCTTGTGTTTGTCTGGGTTTTTATAGCTAAGATCTGCCTGTGTTAGCAGGGCAGTCTCCATGATATATTTATTTATACAATTTATATACTACCCACTACCAAGACTGAAAACAGTTTTACAGCTTTTTAAAAGCAAAGATCTGTGCAGAATATCTGCATCTGTTTGCCTTCTCAGCTTTTAGCTCCATAACATATGGAGTTTTCAAAGAGAATATACAGGTGTGTGTGAAGGAGGAGAATATTAAACAGGGAAGAAATTAAAATGAAAACTAATAGAAAAGGTAAAAGAGAGGTGCTATAAAAGTAAAACACAGGAGAAAGAAGCAATAATAGAGATTAAGTATGGTTACTTTAGACATATCTGATCCGGGAGTGGCATGGTGGTCTAGTGGTGAAGATGCTCACCTCCTACTCAGAAGGTTCAATGCTAGGTAGTGGCAGATGTTTCTCTCCTAGTATGCAAAGAAAAAATACCTGCTGTGAATGAACTCCACGTAGAGTCAGGAAGGGCATCCAGCCAGTAAATGTTCAGTTCCATGCAGTTATTCTGACTGTATCCCAAGGGATTATATGGTTATAAAAAGGGAATATTAAAAAAAAACAGGTGACCACTCTATGATAGTATGAGTTATTCCCCCCACCAATATCTCTTTGGTTCCATTGAGTGCAGGGGTGTCAAACTCGATTTCATTGAGGGCTGCATCAGGGTTGTGTTTGACCTCGGAGGGGGGAAGGGTGGGCGTGGCCAGCTTGACGTCACTCATGTGATCAAATGCCACTTTTGCTAGTAGCTTGCTTTGCTAGCATTCCTGGGTTCCATTTTGCTGGCAGAGGCACCACAGGCTAGTCTTTCGCTGTTTCAGGGTGGCCCCATGGGCCAGATCTAAACATCCTGCAGCTCAGATCCAGCCCGCGGGCCTTGAGTTTGACACCTGATTTAGTGCTTTCACATTTTTGCAGTCCAGATCTGTTGCTCGTGACACTTTACACATAAAAAACAATTTGTTAAATCTCTTGCTTTGACTTTTCATAAGTAATACTGCATTGTAATGTTAAAATGAACTCATTACATCAAACTAGAATAGGTCTCACATGAATTATTTTTCCTTTCCATCCTATCATTCTTTGTCAGCTTTTCCAGATAAAAATCTCATTTAAAAACAGCATTCATCAATGTTTTCTCAGGTTAGTGAAATTTCATGAAGCTGGAATTCTGTGATGATTTTTGAGTACCCTATTTTCATAAAAAATTAAATGAATTAAAAAACCTCACCAAAAATATGGTCAAGAATATAGAAAATAAATTATGTGAAAAATATTAAGAAAACAGCATGTCTTGGCTAGAAATTAAATTTTAAATATTAAAATTTTCAGATACCCAAAGGTGTGTAAGAATAAAAACAAATGCTCTCTAGAGTCTGGACGAGATGTAATGGATGGAAGATAAAAGTTGATCAATTTTAACTGAACCTTAAAAGAAGAACCTTAGACTTATATACTGCTTTACAGTGCTTTACAGTTCTCTCTGAGTGGCATATGGCACTTAGAGTCAGCATATTGCCCCCAACAATTTGGGTCCTCATTTTATCCACCTCAGAATGATGGAAGGCTGAGTCAACCTTGAGCCTGGTGATATTTGAACTACCAAATTACAGGCAGCTGGCAATCAGCAGAAGTAGCCTGCAGTACTGCACTCTAACCACTGCGCCACCATGGCTCATATATGATAAAGATTATTGGATAATGAAACTATCCAATTGATACTGAGGATCTGGAAGACCCTCCCACTGAAGAGTGACACTCAAGTTCTAGATTTCCTTCACTGAAGATGAAATCTGTCTGGGGGCAAAACCACCCCCACCAAGAGGAAATATTTGTTGAGGACAAGAATGGGAAACACTTGATGGACTGCCATGATTTTTCTACATGCCTTGGGTCTCTTAAAATGTTGCCTGAGATGTGACAGAAGAAACATTATTGCTGAGAGCAAGATTCAACTCTTATTCCAATCATGATGGAGGGAGTGACATCTCCTTTGCCTTAGGCAAAACATTTATCTTGGCCTGGTGTTGGTTTGATGGGCTTATGCCTTAGATCCTTTCTCATTCTTTTCAGCTTTTCAGATTTAATTTGATACAGATCAGGTTATGCATACAAAAAAATGCCAAGCCTTTGTTCATACTAAATGTATAGAACTAACACAAGTAGAATTCATAGAGCACACAAAACCACCTTCAGGATGATTATGGGATGCTCTAGCCTCAAAAAGTCTGGGAAGTTATTGTCACGATCAGGACTAAAGGAAAAATAACTAATAAAACTGTTTGGCCTAATAAAATGGTTTCATAGATGCTTTAATGTTTAGCCAAATGGTTTAAAATATACAAATAGCTTACGAGGAGACTTAAATTGCAAAATCAGTGTCCAGTTCCTGGAAATGAGGAAGTTTATCTCTGACGGTTACTGAAGGTTTGTTGATTGAAATAAAGGCTAAAGTACATGGTTGATATGAATGTGGGCTTGGGTGGAATACATTGCTAAGGGGCACTGTTATCCCTTTCATATAAACAAGATCATAATATAAGCTTTTGCCTTACTCCCACTCAGTGGATACAACCTTCTATTCCTGTTGTGGCCCCTGAGCGGCCAGCAGAGCTGGCAGCAGAGTCGGACAGTGAGGAGGTTGAGGAAGAACATGGGGTAGTCCTGAAGTTGGGGGAAGACTCTGATGTAGGCTCTGTGTCAGAGGCAGAGAGGGGGCCATTGCCATATNCCCCAATTCCCAAAATGCAACGTGATCACCGCTTGCACGTGCCCCCTGCCCCCATGCATGTACTTGTGTTCTCTGTGCATGTGCCCCCCCACACACACATGCGCCCCCCCATGCATGCACACCACCCCTGCCCGTTTTGGCTTCCAGGTTGGTGCAGGAGGCTTTTCGGGCCCAAAATGGAGTTCAGGGGGAGGGGCATGCGATCACCGCAGTTTCTTCCACGCGGGTCCAGGCTTTCTCCCCCAACCCTGCCTCCTATGCCTTCCCCAATCTCTGCAGTTTTTCTTCCGCACGCTTTTGGAGAAACAAGAGGTTTGTCTGCCTTCCGTTATTTTCATTAAGTTGATGTGCAGACTCAAACTGACATCAGGACTGCTTTCTCCCTTTATAAGGACGGTTACAGAAATAGAAAAAACTGTTGCACCAAATGCAATCAAATAATTATATTACTTAACTAACCAAGTTACTTCTTGAATTGGATAATATGGCTGGGCAGTTTTTATTTGCACGAATTTATCCACTGTCTTCAAGAATGCTGCGCTGTTTGCTTTGCATCTTTATAACATGATATAATAGAAAGCAATTAATTATTAGGAACAGTTCTCTCTCATTTGATCTTTTTTAGGGTTTCTTGTTTTAGTATTTGGAGGGGGGGGAAATGCCTTAATTAGTTCTCTCCCCTTCTTAAAAGGCAGCATTCTAAAAAGAATAATAAAGAGAATATTAGAAAATCAGATTAACTGAGACTTACTTTGCTTTTACTTCAGCATCCTCGTATGCTTTATTGGAAACATCATCCAGACCTCCAATCAAATGTTTGAAAGAGCTGTAAAATTAAGACACAATTTAAGGAAATTGTTTCTGATATAACTGGAAGAGTTGTGAACATTCTCTGTTGTGCAAGGTCTGCCTAAGATCTTATAAAATACCATGACAAAACACGCATGTGCACCACAAATACATTTCCATGCCCAGTAATTTTGATTCAATGTCTATCTCCCATAAACAAAAGGCTTCCGTTTGACCATGAAATCATGATTGACATTGATTTTATTTCTATTTTATTCACTTACTTCATTTTTATCCCATCACAACCCAAAACAATTCCTGAAAGTTAATTTAACTCCATGTCCTTTTGAGTAAAAGGCTTGGAGTTTTTTCAGCAGGTGGAAGAGAGAAGATATAACAATAGTTAACAAATAACAGTTTTTGAGCATATGGAAGAGAGAGATGATATAAACAACCATAAATAGGAAATAACATTGGGCAGCATACAAATTTAATTTAATATTATTGTTTGGCTATCCAATCTAAACATCTTGCTGACTCTGCCACCAACAATAGTAATAAAAATAAATAAAAGTTAAAATAAATGAAATCTGTATGCTGCCCAACTCCCTGTAGTCTTTGCTGATTGGCGTTCCATTCCAAATTACCATGACCAAGGAAAAAAGTATTTTGGAATATATCTAAAATTGAGATAGTAGAAAGAAAGAAAGAAAGAAAGAAAGAAAGAAAGAAAGAAAGAAAGAAAGAAAGAAAGAAAGAAAGAAAGAAAGAAATTTTCAAGTATTGAACGAGATGTTTCTCAGCAGTTATCTTCTTCAAGTAACTAATTGTTTTGCTTTCCCTGCTCCTAGATTTAATTTCTTCTAATTAAGGAACAGAATGCATTTTGAGAGGTCCTTGATGCTCTCTGAAATTAGTTGTTTTCCTGCAGATGTTTCATTACCAAACTAGGTAACATCATTGCTAGAGTGTTAACTACTTTAGCAATGAAACATCTGCAAGAAAACAGCCAACCTCAGATAGCACCAAGGACCCCACATTTTAACCCTGAGCTACAAATATTACCCTTTATTGGTAGAATGCACTTTATTTGGTTGTCTTCCAATAATATTTTATTTTAACAGCATCAACTGTTTATCCTCATAAGTTCATAACCTCATACACAATCATTTTCCCCTGAATTAATTGGAGAATAAAGGCTATTAACTGCCTGTTACACCTTGATTAGCAACATTTAAATTCTTTCCCGTCCATTGCATGGGAGAAAGACAATATAACCAATTCCGTTGTATACAGGATGTACAATGACAATAAAGGCTAGACTTTACAATACATTAAAGGTCATTTCTAAGATAAATATTACTGGAATAAGGCACCTAAATACATAAGATATGTCCTTATTCTATTTGCTGAGCATTAATTGCTGAGTCCCCTTCGGGGAAAAGGGCGGCATATAAATGAAATAAATCCTAATCCTAATCCTAATTAATTGTCCATCTATGCTTCTTGGTGCTTTCATTGCAGAAGACTATCACTTTCACTTGTCATAAGTGATTGGCGTTTCCTTTCTCCCAATAATAATTAAATCTAGCCAAAATCTGTAAAGTAAAAATGCTGCCTCACTGAGAAACATCAATACGTGTCCCTTGAGGGAGAAAAACATTTTATGCACCGACACATTAATTAATATGAAATTAAAGAGAGTAGCTCTGTCTGACACCCTTTTTAACAAAATAAGGTCAGATCAAGATGTTTATTGATCCATCTTCACCTTCACATTTGAATGCAAGTCAAGCATTAGCTTAGGCCTATCAGTTTCAGTTGTCTTACATTTTCCCCACAATGTAACTTATCAATAGAATTAAAAATGCATGCAAGATCAAGAACCAAAGGGCCATAACTATATTCATGGATCATGACTTTCAAAGCTACACAAAGATGCATTCCTTCTCAGTAGTAGCCCCGACCCTTTGGAACGACCTCCCCATGGAGATTCATACCCTCTCCACCGTCCAGGCCTTCCGCACAGCCCTTAAGAACTGGCTAGCCCGTCAGGCCTGGGGATAAGGATCCCCGCCCCTCCCGAATGATGAATGTATGTTGCTTACTATTTTATTATATG